GGAGAGAAACAAGTCCCTTCATATTTACACGAGTTGAGGGCTGTTATGGGGACGTCTTGTCCATTCTTGTGTCCTTTTTCAAACGTGAACACAAAAAAGATGACATTCTAAACCTGATGTACAGTAATTAAAGGTCAGCGTTTGCTTATATGAAGAGAAGAATTGTTCATGTATGCATCATACCTACGCACGCTGTATACTTTGTGCACAAACGTTTCACTGACGTTAACCCGCCGTACTGAATTAATTGTCACATCGACTAGTTTTTTGAATATCTGTTAATATGTTTTATTGTACCTGTTAGTATTTTATTCTTGAGTGAGTATGGTTTTATGCCGCTTTTAAAAATATTCCAGCAATATCACGACAGAAACATCAGAAATGGGCTTCACACGATGTACCCATGTGGAGAATCGAACCCGGGTGATCTGTGTAACGATTGAACCCTTTAACCACTAGGCTACCCTGCCTCCCCGTGTATTTATTAGATGCCCGTATTAATAACCTCATACAATACTGGTGTATCGTGTAAGATGCGATATTAGAAGCTAATAGAAACGTTTAAAACGATAATAGTAGCATTATGAGATTTAGAGCTTGGTAGTAAAGGGAAACTCATAAAATATTATATTGCCTTATTTGTTATTATGTTAAGTGTGAAACAGAATTACTAAGACAGCATGTTCAAAGCGAGTGTAGAATGACCTAATTTCTCAACGTACCTGGTTTATCCTTGGCGTCAGCAATATAAATATACGCTGATGATGAGAAACGGGAAGTCCAGTCGTGATATAAATAGAACATGACGTGACAGTGCGCAGCATATAAAATGGCTCTAAAAGCGGTGTAAAACAAAACTAACTTACCTCATGTACCTACCAACTCATCTACTTAACTAAATGTACCCATCTGCCTACGTGGTTGATGCATGTCATCGTATCCCAATTGTGTGGATCGATGCGCATGATGTCATTCACTGGATTGTCTGGTCAAGACTCGATTATTTACAGACCGCCGTCAAAGAGCTGGAATAGTGCTGAGTACGGCGTTAAACAACAAACAAACAAAGTAGTTCTCAACTGGTATCCCAATGAGTCAGAACCAGGTGATATTGGTGAGTGAGGCGTAAAACAACAAACAAATAAACATGCACCTACCTAGCAAATGTCCTTATGTAACAGGGACCTGTTGGAGGACCAATGATGTGATTTTTGAAAGCTGAAAATGGATTGAGATCGGATGAAAACGTAACTTGAAAAACGAAAATGTCGAAATAGTATTGCAAGACAGGAAATTTTGTATTACAATCAGTTCATACTTATTGCTCTATGCAGTCTTGGTTCTGTTATAAAAATATTGTTGCCAGTGTTAATTTCTACAAAGTCTCATGTGTATTTAATCCAAGATAATTTTAATTCATCCTTTTGTAATCGTTGTCTTGTCATATACGACTTTAGTCACATCTTGTTCTTTGCTGTTTTCCGGGGCGGTGGGGTAGCTTAGGTGTTAAAGTGTTCGCTCATCACACTGAAGACCCGGGTTCGATTCCTCACATGGGTACAATGTGCGGAGCCCATTTCTGGTGTCCCCCACCGTGATATATTGCTGGAATATTGCTGAAAGGGGCGTCAAACCATACTCACCCACTTACTCTCCTTATGTAACAACTCGGTTTCGAGAAAAACATCTCTCTATCTTTACACGAGTAGAGGGCTGTAATGGGTCAGGCTTGTTTATCCCGGTCTCATGTTTTAAACATCAACACAAAACTATTACATTCTAAACCCGATGTACAGCAAAGGTCAGGTGACACTCCAGGGACTTGTTTATGCGACAGCTTGGCTCGGGTTCCACTGCACTGTGTGATAACATCCTGAATTGAGGTCGGAGAATGCCCATAGCACTTGTCGCAGCTGGGATTCCCATCACACGAAGCCGAACATATATTACAGATAAAAACAGTAGTTAAATTATAGTTTTAAAATTATTTTAAAAAGGAGTCATCGTCATCCTGATACTACAATTATCTAGACTTTCCAAATATTGTAGACTTGCAGGGGCTGTATTGGATTTGTTTTAGAGTCTGTGACAGACTAGAAGCCGGGCTGCAACTGACAATAAAAACTACCGCAACGGAACTGTGTTACAACTACATGTATGCTTGATCATTACTTATTTTTGGACATACATAGCGTTAAATGAGTAAAAGAATTATTCATGTATCCATCATACTCACGCACAGTATATACTTTGTGTACTAACGTTTCATTAACGTTAACCTGTAATACTGAATTTATTGTCAGATCGACTATTTTGTTAATATCTGCTAATATATTTTATTGTACCTGTTAGTATAAGTGAGCGGGTGGGTATGGTTTTACGCCGCTTTGAGCAATATTCCAGCAATATCACGGTGGGGAACACCAGAAATGGGCTTCATACATTGTACCCATGTGGGGAATCGAACTCGGGTCTTCGGTGTGACGAGCGAACGCTCTAACCACTAGCCCAGCATACAAATTTCACGTTGTGGACTCCAATTTACGTGCACCAATGTTGTGTTGCGTCACTTTCACGTTATCACAACGTTATGGGAACGTTGTAGTTACTTTATTGTAACGTATTTTTACGTTGTGGTAGCGTTGTATCTTTCCTTGTAGTAACGTTGTATTTTGCGTTGTGGTAACGTTATACTATTACGTCCATGCAACGTTATTCTGTTGACTACAATAAAGGTTGTCACAACGTTGTGTGAGAAGGTTGAAATACTGAAATATGTCATGTCCATGCGACATTCTAGTGTGGACTACCATTGACGCTGTGACAACGTAGTAAAACAACGCATCATACTTACGTCCCTACGCAAAAAAGGTTGCGGTGGGGTAGTCAAGTGGTTAAAGCGTTCGCTCGTCACGCAAAAAACCCGGGTTCAGTTCCCCGCACAATGTGTGAAGCCCATTTCTGGTATCCCCTCCACCGTGATATTGCTAAAAGCGGCGTAAAACCATGCTTCCTCACTCAGAATGGGGATGTCTTTCCGGTGAAATATACCTGGAAATAACTGATCCAATTCGTGAGTTGAATATTGACTTTGAAGCGTAAGACACCTGTAGCACACCGTATTTCTTTCCACGTATTCAACAAAAGTTTGCATTGGTGACCACTGTGAATACAATCATGCTCGTTGTCAGTGCAACAGGAGTACATATGCTGTGCAAAAATGGTCCTTTATACATCATTAATCAATATGAAAAAAATAATTCATCATTTGAAATTATTTGCAAACGAACAAGTTTTTTTCTAACTGGTTAATAAACACAAGAAACAAAGCGAAAATTAACATCAATATTTATTCGTCGATGTACATAGTCTGATCGTCTTTTGTCATGTATCGCAAAGGAAACGCAAACACTTTTATCATTGAGTACAAACATTATAAGGCACAGATTACGTCATGCGCTAATCATAATACAATTTATCGTTTTAGAGTTTAGTACATGCGTCTACCAAATACTTAAATCTTTACTTTTCTATAAATGACCTACCCGAAGTAATACAGCCTTTGGGCTATGCCATAAGTGATATTAACTGATAAATACTGACTCAAATATTACACATGTGCTAAAGGCATATAATTCAGAAATTCATTGACTATAGACTATGATTGGCATATTAACCCGACGCTTTATATACAAGAACGTGGTTTAAAGCGATACCTACTGACGATGCAGGTTTTTAATCACTCAGTGCCTCGAGTTCCTTTGCTTGTTGCCTCATCAGCCTCTTCCTGTATGTTCTGTCCTTTGAATGTTGCATTTTCTGTGTATATCGTGTCATCCCAATAATCTGTGGTTCATAACGGGAGTTTTAACAACTCATTTACAATTAATTGTTTACGACTGATAGTTAAATGTCACAACGCATACCAATTATAGCAAGCATAGCAATTATAGCAATTATTTTTTCTGCTTAAAATGCTAAATAGTTTCAGCTTCGCCAGAACATAGACAGAGTCAATAATTTTGAATCGTTACATTTTCACTGTTATTTCTGATGCACTTACGATATCTGTGAGAGCAGATATATCTAATGAAGCATGCAAGAGACCCTTTCATTCAGACCGTTTACAGTGATACATTCTAGAAACACTAACAAGGTCAATTTGCACGACCACTGCCCACGTGACAAAAACAGACCTCATACGTTCAAACACAGAAACAAGATATCTCGCTAAAGATACGACGCCAGATTCCCACTTTATTTGTTTCTTTGTTTGTTGTTTAACGCCGCACTCAGCAAAAAAAAAACTGTCTGTGAATAATCGAATCTTATTATTGGATATATAGCGTTTGCTTATATGAATGGAAGAATTATTCATGTATTCATCATACTCATGCACGCTGTATACTTTGTGAACTAACGTTTCATTAACGTTAACCTGTAGTACTGAATTAATTGTCAGATCGACTAGTTTGTTTATATCTGCAAACATGTTTTATTGTACCGCCGCTTTAGAAATAGTCCAGCAATATCACAACAGGAACATCAGATATGGGCTTCACCCATGTCGGGAAGCGAACCCGGGTCCTCGACGTGACGAGCGAACGCTTTAACCGCTAGGCTACCCCACCGCCCTTTGTATTTTATTAGATTCTCGACGGCGTATTAATAACCTTAAACAATACTGGTGAATCGTGAGAGATGTTGGTGCGATATTAGAAGCAAATAAAGAAGCAAAAAACGATAACAGAAGCAACGTGACATTTAGAGCTTGATAATAAAGAGAAACAAATATAAGTTTGTATCGCCTTACTTGTTATAACGGTAAGTGTGAAACAAAATTACTAAGAAAGCATATTCAAAGCGAAAGTAGAATAACATAATTTCCAAAACGTATCTGGTTTTCCCGTGGCATCACCAATGTAAATATACGCTGATAATGAGAAACGGGAAGTCCAGACGTGATATAAATAGAACATGACCTGGCAGTGTGCAGCATATAAAACGGCTTGCAGTCAAAGCCAAAACGTAGTTACACTGTATATGCAAGCACAGAGGCGGGACACCAGTGAGAAGATGCCTTTTACCGTGGATGACTACACATTTTACGACGAGCTTGGTAGTGGGGCATTCGGGACCGTGTTCCAGGCTAAGAAGAATGGACGCGGCCGTGATTTTGCCGTGAAGCGAGTTTCCATAAAAGGGAATAATGTAGACAGAGAACTTGACTCCCAAAGTGATTTACCGAGTTGTCGCTTTGTCGTCTCACTTGTCGACCACTTCTTCTCGAATAAATACATGTATCTAGTCTTGGACTACTGCAACAGCGGGACTCTTAACGACTACATGGCCGAGCACAACGTTTCGGACAAGCGTCGGGTCAGTTTCATGCAGGACATGATAGAAGGTCTCAAACATCTTCACGATCACAGCATCGTTCACAGGGATATAAAACCGGATAACATCCTGATGCATACTCGCAAAGGAAGGAGACCAATTTGTAAGTTGTCCGATTTTGGTCTAGCTCGTTACAATGGGAGCGAAACAGATTCCTACTATGATGAAAACTACTACCTTCAGACAGGATGTGGTACAATGTATTACATCGCCCCTGAGGTGCTGACCGGACATTATACAGAGGCGTGTGACATATTCTCCCTCGGTGTGGTGTTCTACGCCATGTATGCTGAAGAAATAATGGACGACTCCGACGGTGATACTCTGATTGCAACCGTCGACAACGACACACCTTTCTACCAAGCGTCGAACAAGAGTATCAGAAGGAGGGTGAGCTGGGCTGTGGACGACAGGGCGATTGCTGAGTGTATTAAGGACATGGTTCAGAAGGACTATCACAAGCGGGTGGACATTGATGAGCTGGAGCTCAACTTCAGGATGGCTACTAAAATGTAGTGATCCTTTGATCGACGATGCCCATTGCAAACGCTGTTGTGTCATGACAAATATTCAGACTGATTAAAATGAACAATGATGTCCAGCTCATGTGAAGTCTTGTGAAATCAAAGTATCATTAAAAAAAACAACGTTTGTATATTTTCTTATTGTACATGTATTACAAAGATGTTACTAGATGTATGGTCACGTGTATACGTATTCATGCCATTAACGACTATCATGTATTTAAGTGAACATTTAATTCGACCAGATCATTTTAACGCCATATTATTCCAGATATGTTAACCGCTCTTTGAAGAAGGAGGTTAATTACTTTGTTTGTCCAAACGGGAATGCAGACAGTGACAATTATATTTAGTATTATCCTGTTCTGGACAGGCTATTCACTGGACAACTCTGAAGGACAGAGTTGATACATGACCACTCGTTTGAGAAAGACATTGTAACCATGACAGGAGATGGATGGTCAATCACTGGGAGTACACCACCCAGATAACAACTTATGGGATAAACTCTCGTCCAGGTCAAGAGGTCAGAGCTTTTAACTACTGCGTTAGTTAATTAGCAGAGACAGAGAGATAACTTGGGTAGACCAACGGCGTAAACATCCTCATCACCACACAGTGAGAAGGGTCTAAGTGGGAGTTGGAAATTGAGAGCCAGAACCACCTTGTACTTCCAGTAAATAAACCTTCTTCCTGAATTGAGAAATGTGTTGTGTTACATGCGTTATCGACAACCAAAGAGGTAATGTTTTCAACAAGATATTTGAGATCTACATATTCCGTGTATATGTTAGTGATGCTAATGGTTTAGGGAGCTTCCATTTGATTTGTATGGGCGGTATCTATTTTCCCCAACATGTATCCAACAAACGTTTTACTTACTGAGCACCATCAAACAATCAAACACTATTAACAACAACAAAAAACACAACTTTTTTACCACTATTCGTTTTGGGCATATCCCTGAACAAACTATTTATTTTACAACTCCCCTCTCACCCACCCTCACCCTAACAATAAATTGAAATGGATGCTCCCTTTGACATGACTACATTTAATATAAAAAATTCATTTCAAAATTTGAATAACACAAATGGAACAATACTATTTTTTTCAAAATAGATCAATGATACTGCGTGTGAACGAGTATGGTTTAATGCCATCCTAATGAAAAGTAAGCCCTATCATATTGCACCAATGGGAATCGAGGCGAGGTAATATGAAATGGGATTTGACGTCGCGTTCAAAATTATTCCATTTATATGGTGACGTGCATGCACGTGTGTGTATTGCTACTTTTACCAGTCCGGTAGTCAGTCTAGTTTAATGGTACTAGCCCAGTGAGATAACATGGCACGGTATAACATGGATAAATTATACTGACTTCGAGACGACCAGTCCTTGTTTTATCCCCTTAGTGACGAATGCCAGGCAGGGTAACATTAAATACTATCTTTAACGTGTTTAGGCATGCTGCGGCATGGGCAGAGATCGTACCGTGGTTTCAGGCGTGAAGAACATATATGCATTAACCACAAGACCACCCCATCGCATCTCGGCGAACGATAGTAAAATGAAAAGTCACATGACAACATCGTAAATACTAGTACTTCACGGGTGTGTATGCACAACGCATCCTTGAACAGGTACATCCACATCATCCTTGAACAGGTACAGCCAGTATGTCTTTATGCTGCCTATGAAGTGAGGCCGTATATGACCACATGGATGCCAAATGAACTCTGTCCTTGAACTTTAAGCAAACTCTACCATTTCCAGACATGACACTGAAAATAATCTCAATATCTTACCAAGAAAATAGTTTGTTCTATTTTTTAAATACTGAAAATCAGAAGCCAAAATGTTTGTATAGTCATATATAGTCATTAAATCTCAGAAGAAATATGCCTACTGAAGTATATGCTGATGAATACGATAAGGCAACGGTCAAAGTGTGACATCTACCGTATTTATTTAAATATTTAATAGGTTGAAATTTATTTGTATTGTGTATTGTTGTGTCTTTTTCTGCCAATCAGTATCTATACTGAACCGCAAAAGAAACGTCACCATGGATAGATATATGAGAAACCTTATTTGTCCCAACACTGTAAACATACTTTGAGACATATTTAAAAGATGAAACGTGGCAAAACTGATCATCAAGGTTGAAATTGAAGAGTCAAATGTTCTTAAAGTGAAACACAACTCTAGTCTCTAGGAAAATGGCATCACAAGTCAGTATCTTGAGTGTCCGCCATGTGCATTGATGACTGCCGTGCAACGTCGATACATGCATGAGGCGGTTGATGAAGGCCATAGGCCCTCGAGCCCACACTCCTAGGTTCAGCTGCAGTAGTCGGATTTGGTCGGACGTCTTTGAATCTCGTCCCACAGGTGCTCAATAGGATTTACATCGGGACTGAGGGCAGGCCACTGCATGGTTCTGATGCCATTCTGCTGGAGGACGTCTCTTGTTGCTCTTGCAGAGTGGGCACGAGCGTTATCAAGCTGAAACTCGTGGTTGCGGCGACGTGCCAAATGAGGCATGGCGTATGGGCTCAAGACTTGATCAATGTACCGAGCGTCTGTGACACCATTGCCTCTCCCCTTCTCGTTGTTCTGGAAGACCACAGGGCCGGCCCTCTGTGCAATTCCACCCCACACCATGATGCTTGGACCACCCCACGAGTCAATAACACAAGCATCCGAATAACGTTCCCCACGGCGTCGCCAGACTCTCTCTCTCTGCCATCTGCTGTTGAGATACAGGAACGGCTCTCGTCTGAGAAGAGAACTCTTCTCCACTGCTGGTGGCGCCAATGCTGGTGCTGTGTTGCCCACTGAAGACGGTCCCGGCGATGACGTGGTGTCAGAATGGGTCATCGGTGTGGTCTGTGACAGTGGAGGTGTCTGCTCGTCAATCGTCGACGCACGGTGTCCGCACTAATGCGTCGCTGGTGTGTCCCCATGGTCTGTTGAGCAGTTTCCGCAGCAGTAACAAAGTGATCTTGAAGATGCTGTCGCACAATCTGACGATCCTGACGTCGGGTGGTGACCCTTGGACTTCCACTACGTGGTCGGTCATCTGTAGTGTTGGTGGTCTAGTACCGTTGCTGGAACCTGTATATGTTCTGTACGTGGACTTGGCTACTTGCCGGGCGTTTGTCCAGCTTGCAATCATCCAAGGGCTTGGTGTCGCTGATTTCTTGTCAATATTGGCATATGGTAGCAATTCAATAACGAATGAATGTTATCCGATCTGGGTGGATATTAATAGGGCAAGAAATGGGGGAGCGCATGTGCATTTCCATTTCCACGGAGCTCACGTGCATCGGGTTACCATAGCCGTTGCCGTGATGCGTTTGGGTGATCGATTTTATTGTTATCTGCTTTGGGTTTTTTTATAATAAAATTTCATTTTTCCGGACAGGGTAATGTTAAATTTTAGAAACTTTGACCAAAAGTACCCAGATATTTAAATGACAACTTTTCATGCAATGTAACTTGGGGCGACGTTTCTTTTGTGGTTAAGTATATTTGTCTTTAAATCAACATTTCTTTCTGCCCTGGTCTATATCAAATAGATATTATTTCAGAGAGCATCTATGAAAGAATGGTTTTCTTTTCACCATGGCATGATAAATAAATCTTGACAATTGTTGCAAAATTACACAGCTAGATGAATTTAACAGATATTAAAAATTTTAGCCATTGAATGGGCAAAGTAATATTGTGATATATGCATATTTCTTGGTGATGCATATGCGGACGTACAAGAAGAAAATGCTATTCATATACAGAGTGTAGGGCATCTCATTGTTTTGGGCTGAATCCACATCCTTAATCATGATAATCTTCACTTGATAAACGAGAAACTGTATATCAACTTGTTAACATTGTTTATAGGTGTGAAATGTGTAACTTGATTACACGCAAAATATGTGCAGTGTTACCTTATATGCAGTGGACTGTCTATATATTCTTCATAGTCTGGTATTCCGACACATTACATCGTTGTCCTTGTGATCTCGGATCAGGGGTTTCGTTCATCGTGTGTTAGGTTGTGTATTGTTAAAAAGAGAAAGTATGATAAACGTGCTGTTTCGCCCTCAGGATATGCATAATTTATAAGATAAATGATATTATCTAATAAAATATGTATGTATGTAAATAGTCACTGGGGGCTCAGTCTGGGCTGTAGGGTGGGTGATTTTCATAAAAGTTGTATTAACAGCTTGAAGGACAAATGGAATAAGTGTATTGAGGTTAATGGCGATTATATTGAAAAATAAAAGTGCAAAAGATATTCTGCGACTTGGTCTTATATTGAAGTTGCAAAATTTATTGAACGCACCTCGTATGTGTGTGTGTGTGTGTGTGTGTGTGTGTGTGTGTGTGTGTGTGTGTGTGTGTGTGTGTGTGTGTGTGTGTGTTTGCTTGTTTGATACAGCTGGGAAAAAAAATAATGTTCTTAAAACAACCCACTCCACCCCCTATATATCAAATAGATCCTCTCTTATATCGCTGGGGCGGTCGGGTAGCCTAGTGGTTAAAGCGAAAGACGCCGAAGACCCGCCGTGAAATTGCTGGAATATTGCTAAAAGCGGCGTAAAACCATACTCACTCACTCACGCACTCTTATATTGCTACAGATCCCATTTCTCCACAAGGCATATATGTAGGGATGGTTTCCTTGTAACAGAACTTGTTAAACATGTACAGTACACCATTGGAGTAGTTGCCAGTTTCGATATTTGTATAAAAATAGATTTAGGAATTTATGTATATAAATTCATAATGATTTTTATTCACGAGCATATATCAAAACATCTTTACACTCTCCTGACTACAACATGTATATTTTCAATCTTTCGATTACATTCATTTTTATAACACATTAGGTCACAACATCTACAAAGGTATATATATTCATAATGATTTTTATTCACGGGCATATATCAATACATCGTTACACTTTCCTGACTACAACATGTATATTTTCAATCTTTCGATTACATTCATTTTTATAACACATTAGGTCACAACATCTACAAAGGTATATATATTTATAATTTTTTAATTTGAAGTTTACACGATATACGGCTTTTCCATTGGACGAGAGGTCGGTCACATGACCGCGAAATTGACGTTCATAAGTGTATGAACGACACAATTTGACGTTCATACGTTTTTCACGAGACCGTGTTCTTGAAATGACGTAAACACTGACGGACTACTTCCACATTCCTGGGGAAACCCCTGGGAATTCCCTAGCACGAAAACATGCATAAGCGTTCTTTCTGATCATTTAGAACCTTTATTCTTGGTTTCAGCGTTTCAATATACATTGAGAAATGCGGAGCGCGTGACTGCATGATTGTTCACGAATATCCTCGCTACGGCCCATCCTAATGAACAAACGAAGAAATGCAAATCTAAACTATCGTAGTATCGACTCGATCCGTGCCTAGGCTGACATTGACCGTCTCCAGCAATCTATGTATTTACCTTTGTGTCTGTTTGACGCATCTTTAATCACCTTTCAATGATCGGCCAGTTGATCAATGATGACTAACACATGTAACCGCCACAGATTCATTACCAACTTCGGAAATCTCTCCCGTCACGTTTATCGTGTCGGCCATTTTGACGTCTTGTAATTGATGTAAATGTATTACGACGCGCTGTCATTGTGACTGACTTACTGGGGTAGTTCTTTACAGACCTTTCTCATCTAATGAGGATATGATTTGAACACATGTGCTGCGTAAGATGTTTCTGAAGAGCAAGTTGTGCATCCATACGCCCATGTCACCTCTCTTTTTGAGGAACTATTTTACTACGCGATATAGCTGGTTGTTGTATGGCTGTCAGTGTAAACATGAAGTCACACGCACTAAATAAAATTGTGTTTAGATCTTGGCCTACATCCTTTGAGGTAAGAAATTGTGATAAAAAATTACAAGAATTGACCTTTACTTTGTGTGAGTTCATTGGAGTATGAACCTTCATAGAGTGAGGGCCAAACTGTATGAACGTCGGAGCTTGCGACGACGTTCCTACAATGTTTGGCCCTCACTTTTTGAAGGTTCATACTCCAATGAACTCACACAAAGTGAAAGTCAATTCTTGTAATTCACTCTATGAAGGTTCATACTCCAATGAACTCACACAAAGTAAAGGTCAATTCTTAAATAATGATTTTTATTCACGGGTATATATCAATACATCTTTACACTCTCCTGACTACAACATGTATATTTTCAATCTTTCGATTACATTCATTTTTATAACACATTAGGTCACAACATCTCCAAAGGCATCTGAGCAAAGGAAAAAGCGTCAGTACGTGTCTTAGAGGAAATGCGATAAACCGTACTTGGTGCAAGTGAACTGACTGCGAGGTCATCCCGACCGCTGACTTCACCACAGGCCGGATCGACAAACAGCAAACATTCCTCGTCATCGGCTGTGCTGACATCTACCGCGAGGAAGATGGCAGGATGTATGAGACTGGCGTTATTTCTGCTCTTCGCAACGACAACAGCAAAAGGCGAGTTCGTTGTATGGGGAAACTATAGACTGTAGATATTGATTGCTAGGCATGGACATGTTTTCAAAGTTGCCTTGACCTTGTTTGTGTCTATAAATATAACACGGAGCAGCTTGATCTGTCCGTCTCGACCTAGCCGATAACACTGTTCGTGATGAGCTATAACGTGGAAACACGATTGTGATGCCCTTGTACCATCCCGTTTTATGAAAACTGATTTGATACATGGCTTTAGTTTGTTCAAATATTCTCTCGTTGCGGGACGACTGTTCTATTTATAGCAACACGATGCGAAACCGTTAGGTTCAGTCACAGATACCACACATACTGGGTTGTTTGAGAAAACTGGTATACTGTCCTATATGTGATAAATATAACACATATCAGTCAGATAATTAATATTAAAGCGTTGTAACATTATTGACACCTCTATTTACACATGATGATGATATCAAATTTATGATGATTATGATAATATAATAGATTCCAGCATCCCCTGCACCTGTTAAAGGTATAATTTTGAACAAGGACAGTCTATGTATTGTTTTGTCAGTTGTGATAACAATGATATGAAATGTATTTGTCAGCCGAGGCGTGCGACGTCACCCTCCAAGTAAACGGAACAAAAATGGTTCAGGCGGCTGTCGTAGCAAGGTAAGACACACATCAACTGCGCGCTCGTGACTTAAATATAATGTCACGGTATACACCAACAATTCCGACATACAAAAATGCCTGCTTATTCATACAAAAGGTCCTAGCGATATTTATTATGCGTGAGTATTGAAATAATAACAATTATTATATGATGAATGGGAGTAACGACTGGATCAATCAGTCCGATAAACTTATATGTATAGGATAAGTTAGAACTGGATATTTCTCATAGAGGTTGTGTGGGGTGGGGTGATATTGATCTTAGGACTGTATCCTATTTTGCTGATCCCTCATTTTTATGTAACATTTTTTCAGGTCACTTGTAACATTTATTCTCTGATCGCCCCTCCCCTCCCTGTAATAAACGGCCAGACCCCTATAACCTATATATAGCTAAATGCATAATAAATCGCTCAGGAAACATCCACTTGTATTTCAGCAGCGGAACGTGCACATGGACAATCACCAATGCAAGAACTTACGGTTCGGTGCTCGTAACGTTCGAAGACGTAAACATGACCCACCACCCGTCATGTGACGTCGGTAACAGCGTCGTCGTATATGATGGTGGTATGTATTTTATAACGGCAGAGACACGTTGATAGCCGTGTCGATTGAAGTACAATGCATAACTCCAGCGCTTTGCCTTATATATGAATACATATGATTGATTTAATGCACGTGTTGTCAAGCCGAAGCCGAATGACACGCTTTCTTAAATTTAGGATTGAAGTACAATGCATAACTCCAGCGCTTTGCCTCATATATGTATACATATGATTGATTTAATGTACGTGTTGTCAAGCCGAAGCCGAATGACACGCTTTCTTAAATTTAGGATTGAAGTACAATGCATAACTCCAGCGCTTCGCCTCATATATGTATACATATGATTGATTTAATGCACGTGTTGTCAAGCCGAAGCCGAATGACACGCTTTCTTAAATTTAGGATTGAAGTACAATGCATAACTCCAGCGCTTTGCCTCATATATGTATACATATGATTGATTTAATGCACGTGTTGTCAAGCCGAAGCCGAATGACACGCTTTCTTAAATTTAGGATTGAAGTACAATGCATAACTCAAGCGCTTTGCCTCATATTTGAATACATATGATTGATTTAATGTACGTGTTGTCAAGCCGAAGCCGAATGACACGCTTTCTTAAATTTAGGATTGGGAAAGAAAATATGCTTATCAAGAAAAGTATTCATATGCAGTGAAAAGTCCCAGTCCTATTTAACAACGTTGTTAGATTGCAGCACACACGCGAAACACTATGATAAAGGTCTCCCAACATGATTTGTCACATATGTACTGTCGTGTATTGTCGTTCCCCAAGAGAATTGAATTATCGTTCTGCGCACAATCGGTTGGAAGCTGCAGAATTAAAAGGTTCACCCAAATGATTGGAATCACGATGGCTGCCACACCATCTGGACAAACTCTTTGCGGCTCTACAAGAGGATTGGCTCCGGATCACATGGGCTACCATCAGGACCATCTCCCAGAGTAGACCAGAAGATGTCCGGAAGATGCCTTCGCCCACTGTTCCGGAGTCACATCCTGACCTTGATGTTTTACTGTTCACGCCATGACCTTTGATTTTCGATCAGTTCATGCGATCTCTTATTTGTTTCCCAAAGGATATGAACAGTTAGTTTGTCCTTTTATTGTTTACTTCTGTGGTTAGTTGGTATTCTTGATAAAGTCTTCCGTAAAACCTAACATATCTAGTGAGGGTTTTGTCTTCATCTTAAGTGATTATTGATGCTTCGTCTTTACAGATTCATCCGGCGACATCCTCGGTTTGGTTTGTGGCAACTACTCAAGCAGCTTCAGAAGTTCTGGTAGCTTCCTCACCGTGCGCTACTCTGCAGCTGTTGTGACGGACACAAACGCCTTTGCTCTAGGATATATTCAATCACGTTTGTACATCAGTTTCTTGTGTAATAACAATTATTTAAAGCCACGAGTATTGATAACACAACGTAACTGTCCTCTGCATGTTTGCACGATCTGCGCCAGCGGAGTACGATTACACCCCATCATCCGACCTCCTCGTCCCATTTAACTCAACTGTTACATCGAGCATGAAGTACTGGGGACCTACTGAATCCGAAACACAACATAGTACTCGGTCCTTCTTAATCTCCTGGCATTAAATTATTTACTGACTCGTGTTGCGCACTGTTACAGTTCCGGGCACCTGTTCTGGACCTTCTGTGACAGCCGTCTCAACAACAGAGTATAACATCCTGTCATATGGGTACCCTGAAGGCTTTATAATGTAAGTAACAAATTATACCTTCGAATACTTTAAGCAAGAGGACACAGAACAATCTGTTGCATAATAAGCATGTAACATATGTTGACGTACATGTTAGTCAAATATAGATTTTGGATTCTGCACCTCCATATATGGATTTATAACCTTTATCCTGGGCTCGACCTATTATTTGTAATACAAGAGTAATTCGTGTCCGTTATTGAAGGCAATTCTGTGCCAGACACAGTGGATGATCTGAGATTGTTTTAATACACATGTACCTCAGTTATATATACAAAGAATAAAGACAGGTGCCGATTCCTTGCAGGATGCGATTGGGTGCCAGGAAACACAGTAGTCATTGTAACTTGGTATTAAGTGAAAACAAATGGCGGAACATGATGTTTGTGAATGGCGGATTATTGCTCTCGCCAAAATTAACATAAACAAAAAGTGTATACATTTATTTTTTTCAACAAACAAACTATCGAGGTGTAGACAGGTATCAGCGTTTACCCGTGATGGTTATTTGTGGCTATTCAAGCCAGATAAAGCACCCATCCTTGGTTTTATTTGGGATTAAAAAACCCGAGGGTAGCGAGGATTAGTTTAAACACGACTCGCGGATTTTGGTTGAAAATATAAAATCTCCGGCTTTTCCCGACCATGGGGTTTTACATTTTCCGATAAAACCGAGGAGGAGTGTTTTGACTAAGCTATGAACCGTGTAAGTCCAACAAATATCAGAAAGTATAAAACATGTCGGGATACGTTATAGTGAAATAACGCCTGCCAGTCAGACGCGGTATAAGAGGAATTCGATAACAGCGTAAGAGAGAAGGACAACTCTTGATCATCACCTGCCTGGGTGACTCAGTGCGGAATCAGTGGGTTGCAAAACAAAACGCGATAACTGAGGTCGCTGGTTCGATTAACGTCATTGAATTTTCGTGTGAATTTGTTTTTACTTTTTAACCAATAAAAATTAACACGAGGAGCATATTTGAAGGTTGTATATAAAATTCAACTGTACAACCTCCCAGTAGCTATAGGTCTTACGGTTGGAATGTTAAACCTCTAAGGAAGTCTCACTTTAGAGTAGTACCTGTCACAAGGTTAATATGCGATCAGACCATCCCTACAAAACAATAGGCAAAAGTTGCAGTAGGTTTTTAAGGTTATAAAATCCCAACAAAAACGGAGGAGGTGTATTTTATCTGGCGACTAATAACGATAACGTGTGAAATAGTATGTACGACTACGAGCGCTCACCTATTCAAACATATAGAATGTATTTTTTAGATCGATGCGGTTGCACATTTCTGTTTATGAATAATTTACAAGAAGGAAAAAACAAATACTCCTCTGCAGTCACTTACATACTCCAAAGCATGGTTTCAAAAACAGTTCCTTCGGTCAATAATACATCAGTGGCCAAATTGGATAATATGGGTAATATTTCTTAAAGGATTTTGTATAACATTCCGATCATGTCATCTTTTCACTTACTGTTGTTAAACAATTTCCCACAGCTGATATTCCAGCCCTGGTATATTGCGTGACATTTCACTAATGGTTGATTCTTTTCCCTAGACCATTTGATTGTTATTGGACTGTGAAAGCGCCGAAAGGCCAACGGGTTCGTGTATCCATAGAAACGGCTGGCAACGTCAGCAGCACTTGTGAAGACGTTAAAATAACATTTCTTGATTTGGGTAAGAATTTTTTGTATTTCACTTCACAATTCCACAGTCATGATGACCCGTTAGTAAAGTAGCACCTGAATTGACATTTCCCAGTATAATAGGCTACGGCTGTGTTTTACCCCATGGGGACACAAGGAGAGATGATGGTCCCATGTTTTTCGTATGCATGTCTCAAAGCCAACTACAGAGGGTCGATGATCTGACTCGGTAACTTGGCCGATTGCCTGTCATCTCTGGTCACCGATTTGCCTGGTTCTGACTCATTGGGATACCGGTTGAGAACTACTTTGTTTGTTTGTTGTTTAACGCCGCACTCAGCAATATTCCAGCTCTATGACGGCGGTCTGTAAATAATCGAGTCTGGACCAGACAATACAGTGATTGACATCATGAGCATCGATCCACGCATTTGGGATACGATGACATGCATCAACCAAGTCAGCGAGCCTGATCATCCGATCCCGTTAGTCGCCTCTTACGACAAGCATAGTTGTCTTTTACGGTTGCGAATTACTGCTTGCCGTAAGAGGCGACAGAATATGATCTGATGGTCACCCTCGATGACTGTGTGTCAACGTAAAGCGTGGGACGGTGCTCACAATATCAATCACTGTTTTTCACGGCTAGATGTAATGTACGAGTCGCTGACATACAGCTGGAATATGGCAGATGTTGGCGTTAATCAACAAACAAACAAACAAACAATACTGTCAGCCATTGTCATACAGCTGTTATAAATGAGTGTATAAAAACATTCATACTCTCATTAAGATTTTTTTATTTTTGTGTAATGTTGAGCTTTTTTGTATACAATAGTCACTATTTTCACCCTAAGATAATAACAGAATTCAAACATGTTTGCCATGTTATGTTTCAGAAAACACCGGAATGAGTGTTACATGGTGTCCAGGGAGAAGCAATGTCTACCAAAGTTGGACTAACTCAGCTTACCTTAATCTGGAGATTTCCAAGCAGCGCAGTGTCCGTCTTAAGTACAGAGCTCTTGAAGGTTTGACATTTACACTTGTAACATGGATGACTAATATAGTGGCCTTTATACAATCATATATTTCACACTGTAAATTGCCCCTGTATCTCTGTCACATACTGAATGCAGGTATCGAGGGCTTTATCCGCTTCGATTCCTGGACCCCATCAAACTCTGCTTGTGGTACGAGGAGACATAATGGATCGGGCGGTCAGGTTAGGGGATCTGGGTTATCGTAGCCCACGGAGTAGATCCTTACTCAGAATGTCAATCACTGGATTGTCCCGTCCAGACACGATTATGTAGTTGGTTGATGCATGTCATCGTATCCAAATTGCGTGGATCAATGCTCATGATGTCAATCTCTGGACTGTCATAGAGCTGGAATATTGCTGAATGCGGCGTTAAACAACAAACAAACATTGTACTTCCCTCTATCCAACCCCCACTGTTACCTCCAGGCTTCTGGTGAAGCTGTAAAATTGGAACGTGAAACATATTTAACTCACTTAGTGTTTTTTGTTCAACGCTGACCCCGCTATGTGACAGAGGCATATAATATAATCGACTCTGGACCAGACAACCTAGTGATTGATGTGAGCAGTGCCCAACGCCGTTGGGGTACGATGACACTTAATCTACCAAGCCACCGAGCCTGACCACTCGATCTATTTGGTCATTGACGTATATGACCTATTAAGGGATGTCCAGTTATATGTATTTCGAAACCACCCGCCCTGCATGACTCTTGTACAAGCATGGAATATGTTGTGCTGATTTGGTTTATGGTTTCCATCCAGGGTCTACATGCCGAGGTGATGATCTTACGGCAGCACCAGAGGAGCAATTTCTCATGACTCCGGGCTATCCAAATCCCTTTCCAAGGTACCATCTCATCGTTTACCTGTATATTATGGCGTTCCCATGCATTCGTGATTTCCAGCTATCCCCATATAATACGACAGAACACGGTCCAATACCTCTGCCTCAGATATCCCGTTTTCTACAAATCTGCGTTTCGAAATCAACTCAAATGGCTGTCAAAAGATTTTTGTATATTTTTCAGCGTTAGTGGCAAACCATTCCAAATTCATTGGCTATGGGTGGAGGTATTGCAGTCTGTTTGATTAAAAAAAGTAATCTGCTCCTGAAACATTGTCATCAGGTTTTACAAACAAGTCATTTAGTGAATCGTTCACTGGACATTTTTAATGCTGTTAGCCCAGTGGACAGAGCCTCTGCCCGGTGAGCGGCCGGTCGGCGGTTCGATCCCTGGCCGCGTCATACCGAAAGACTGTGAAAGATGAGAATTGTTGTTACCCTTCCTGGCGCTCTTCATTAGCGGAATATTACAAGGACTGTTCGGCGTCAAGAAATCAGTGTACTGTGTCTGAGTGTCTGAGTAGGGTATATATGTTACATTGCGTCATATCTCAATGGGCATGAGTCCGTTCCAGTACAAGCAGACACACACAGACACACGTGCATGGACGTCGCTGTACAGGTGCAATAATCTTAAACGTAACGTCAAACCCCATGTCTCCCCACATTCAATGCTCTTCAAACAAGCTGCGTTCCTCGAAGAAAGACATTGTGATTCCCCGACTGAAACATGGTCTGTCCCTTAAGCCATGTTCACGTCCTTCAATCCACCACTCAACATCTAATTCACCAGCTGATCTGAGCGCACCATACAGTCTTGGAATAATAGATAATACTTGCGTTACTATTAATATTTCTTAAGCCATCATATCATGGATGGAGATGACAGGCCTTTTAACAATGCGTGCATATATATTTCGTTCATTCACAGTTACCTTGAATGTCGATGGACAATAAACACTCCCAACCCAAGCAGTGGCGCCATCCGGATAGATGTTTTAGAAATGGATCTGGATACGGAAGGATGTACGACAGATGTCATCAGGGTGTATGACGGTAGGCCATTTTTCTGAAACCGATGATGTTTGCTATGTAAAGTATCGCTTTTTCCAATCACGAAATAGTATTTTGTATGCGGCTGCTTCTCAGAAAGCAGAGGAAATGTGCGAATTGAAGACCGTGTATCATTTCATGTCACGTCATGAGGTGAGCTGATTTCCTTAATTGACCTGGCCTCAAACCTGGCCTGTGTATTCCTTCTAAGGTAAAGTTCAAAAGGTCAAGGTTGTGATGGGACAGCGTCTCTTTTTAGCATATATTTTATGAATTCTTTTCTCCTACAGTCGTGACTAAATATTCTGATATTTTACGTGGTTGTTTGTCACCATGATAGTGCTCAGTGTGATGACATGCACCAAAATCGACAGTTTACCTTTTGTGAAACAAAATGATACAAATGTATGACATTATAAGAGTGGGTGAGTATGGTTTTACGCCGCTTTTAGCAATATTTCAGCAATATCACGGCGGGGGGGGGGCACCAGAAATGTGCTTCACACATTGCACCCATGTCGGGAATCGAACCCGGCTTGACGAGCGAACGCTTTAACCACTAGGCTACCCGACCGCCCCGACGTTATAAGAGTGAGTGAGTGAGTTGGGTTTAATGCCGCTTTTAACAGTATTCCAGTTATACCACGGCGTGTCAGCTTAATGTTGGAGGAAAGCCTGAAGTGATGCAGGTCCCAGACGTTTACCACTTTGTTGAAACCCACGAGCACGGGTATGGTGCTGACAAACCTAGAAACATAATCGGGGTGAACCGGGATTGGAACCCACAATCATAGGATTCTGGCTTGCCCAAGGGACGCAACTCTGCACAGTGAAACGCGGCGCCTTAGACGACTGGGCCACCCGTGCCCCCGACATTGAAGACAAGAAGGCATATAAGGCTCAAAGTGAGAAGTTTGTGATAAGGAAATTTAACAGTAATGTGTTGTAAAACTATTATACAATATCACATGTTGCATTATTTTGGTGTAAATTATTTAAAGGAACATTATTGAAATATAGATAAACGTTTCATTTTTTGTCACATTGTCCAAAATATCCGTTCAGAAAATATCTAAAATCTGATGGAAGCAGCAACTTAGTTTGACTTTTGTCACATTTCAAACTGTTGATTACGAATACAGGTGAGCTACAGTGTCATTGAACTGAGTTGCTTCGTTAGGAATGTATTATATAATTCATTCAATGTGTATGGTTATTAGGAATGACTGACAGTTTACAATTAAAAACATCTTTATCATCACAATACATATATTACTCATTCTCTCTCATTCTCTCATTCTTTCTCTCATTCTCAAGAATCCCATATCACACCCAAAACCTGCATTTATGAATAAATAATACATGTGATACTTTGACATTTCCCAAACAGTGCCCTCTGTAAAACTAGTAGTTTGCAATAATACAAGGTACAATATTCAAAGACTGTTGGTTCAATCTTTCCGCATCGTTCCTTATGTCTGTGACATGGCAACACACAAACGCACGGACGAAAGTCCGAGCGGGGCAGAGAACAAGGTGGTTCGAAACATGAAACAATTATTGGGTGAATGCAGTTTAAAGCAGTCTGCAATATTCCAGCGGCGGCGAAATATTCACGGCGGCGACACCAACGACATTTATAGCTAAAATGGCTAGAATTATCATTAAACCGCCCGCATGTTATCAAAAATGAGCGGGCCACTGTAACTTGATAATGCCCTCATATTGTTTAATGACGGGCCATTAGCACGCCCGTTGTTAGGTGACGTCTTAGGATAGGGATAGGTGACGTCACGTTCAATAGTGACGTCATCTGGTTTGTTCTATGACGTTTCCGTATTTGTAAAAGCTTGTCAGTGACATTGGTGTCGATTGTTGTAAATGTTTCAAACAAATTCCATCCATTTTAGCTATAATAACGGTAACGCTATTCTTCAGGGCATTATCATTTGGAAAAGCCCTCGGGGTTTTCAACTGACCTCCTTCGTCGGACAGTTAATGGAAGACCTCGGGTTTCTGCAAATGATAATGCCCTGAAAAATTGCGTTACCGTTATATTACCGGCCTTAGATTCGCCCACCCCGCCATCATTTGAATGACGGGGCGGTCGGGTAGCCTAATGGTTAAAGCGTTCGCTCGTCACGCCGAAGACCCGGGTTCGATTCCCGATATGGGAACAGGTGTGAAGCCCATTTAAGGTGTCCCCCGCCGTGATATCACTCACTCACTCACTCACGCACTCACTCACTCACTCACTCACCCACCCACCCACCCACCCACCCACTCACTCACTCACTCACTCACTCACTCACTCACTCACTCACTCACTCACTCACTCACTCACTCACTCACTCACTCACTCATATGAATGACACATCTGAGTTTTGGTGCTCTTCCAACAGTGCTGAAGCGGTACATAGGGACAATATAGAACATGCTGCTCTATGCTTTACATTCTGTGGCGTACTGTTCCCCAATTCTTTAAAAAATCCACCTTGCAGTCAAAATTGACTCTATTGATTCTAACCGTTGTGTTCCAGCCGTACTATCAACCAGGGAGCTTGTTGGAACTACCTGCGAGGGGCCTAGGTCATTCTATGTGTACGGCCATACAGCAGTGGTTGAGTTTAAATCATTGAGAGAAATTAATACGAAACAAGGATTTAAGCTGAAGTATTACAATACCACAGGTAATATTAACTGTAACAGTCAAACCATTTTAGTATAGTGTTTTTATGTTCGTTGTTCTCACAGACACACAAAGACGTATTCGGGGGGTCTCACCCCAGCTCTCAAACTGGTGATTAAATATTTGCATTCAGTCAGCTGAGGGTTGCGTCCTGTTAAATAACTTCTGCAATCTGTGCTGCTGAAATCGCTATGTGATATTTTTCTTCTATTTACAACCATCCAACTCTGAAAGTTTTGTAAAACACAGAAGATGAAAAATAATGTCACCTTGTAGTTTAAACCTTGTACTTAACTGTTGTAAGGTTGTAACTGTTGGAGGTTATTGCGCAGTCAAGTGTCAGAATGTTTTAATAATGAAATATATCACTTTTGATCAGTGTTCCGGTGTGTATCGGCGCGTCCGACAACTTTAGATGTGATTATTGTTCTTCTCCAGCTGAGCCATGCGGGGGGAGTCTCGTTGCCAACTCTACCATGCAGAATGGCACATCTCCAGGATACCCTGTCAACTACCCCAAGTAAGTGGAACAATGCATACTCGTAAATCTTTTAATCTGTTCCTATGAAGTTTTCTCTTGATTACACCCCCCACTTCATGCCCATCTGAGAATTCAATGTATTCAACTTTCACAGAGCCTGTTCTCTGACGTGATTGGACATGATAGATGGCAAATATCCCCATCAGAGAATACTAATGCTTGTTGAAATCATTTGTTTGCTTTTCATGGGCCACCCGCCTCATCAAATTACCCCAACCCTAAGTTTTGTGTCTAATGTGTTGTGGTCCGCATTGTCCTTTTATACTTTGAACGCAGTAAATATGGAAGAAAATAATGCGAAAATTGTTTACTGGCTTACCTGTGCCATACATACACTGCCGTGTATCCAAGGGACATCTCTACAGAACAAGCATTTAGTAATTGGACGGTTCTGTTTCAGCTCCTTCAAATGTGTCTGGACAATTTCAACCGAAAACCCGGAGGGACACGTCAAGTTGACGTTTTTAGAAGTAGAGCTGTACAATGTATTTTCATCTAGTGGTGATTTTGTGCGTGTATATGACGGTATGTATAGTTCTGCTTAGCCCCAACTTCGCAACGAGAGTTATAATTCTGTATTCGCAACTTCATGTTTGTAACTAACAGCAGGAGTGCAGGAGTGTAAATGTAAGAAGGAGCGAGCTGGTGAATATTTGAAATTATTTTCCTGAGGTATATGTCATTAAAAAGTCATCGTTGCCTGGTTGATGTTTTCGGCATATTTTCATTATCCCAGACTTTATGTAGGTTTCATCTTATCCTTTCGCCCACGGACAACCTTGACAGGGCCCCTAATGAAAGACACATTTCTTGCTGTTTGAACTTCAAACGTTAAACCATCTCTATCCTCCGCCACCCAACTCCCTTCGCTCCAGCCCCCTCAAAATAAACATAACGAAAATTCAAAGATGTGTTAAAGCAAAGAGATAACCTTAATTCCGACGAGCAAATTATCTTTAATCGATGGCACTTGTCACTTTTTTTCTGTCCCCGTCAGGTAACTCAACCTCCGGCTACCTACTGGGGAAAGTGGCAAAAACGAACAAGCCCACCTTCACCAGTCAAGAGGCGTCTCTAACCGTGTTGTTTACAACTGACTACTCTGGGCAGATAACTCTACTTGACAAACCAGGCTTTGTATTTGGATACGAAGAAACGCAGAGTAAATATAAAACTACACGAGAATAATCAGTCTCGATTATGTGTCGAAAAAAATTTCACACTGCGTAAATAGTGGCGAAAATGATATGAATAGCTCTGAAAATCAATGATGACACCAGGTGTTCGAGAAAAGAAATCTTAACTTAACAAAAACAAACTATGAATAACAGACCCTATTCATTATGATGATTAAGCAACTGACAAACAACATTATTATTTCACATAGATCAATTCCCGCTTCTTTATTGGAAAAATGTATTTTGTAATACAGAATCCAATGCATGCATCAAAAAGGTGTACAATCAATACTTAGATAAAACTGAAAACATTTATTTGCTTTCGTCTCTGTTGTTAAATACTACGAATGGTGGTTATGAAAAAGATAGAAACAGCAAAAGAAACGAATTGTGCTTTATTACCAATATACAAGCATGCCGAAATAGCATACCTCGGGTTATACCATTTCGTTAGTCGGGGTGATGGGGTAGGATGCTGGCTTAAGCGAAGTGGGTTTTTTCACATTTCTAAATGAGTCTTTGACGTTATTTGATTTACCCAGATGTAGTAAAGACATTATATATTTATGATGCCGAAAACATCAGGAACACTTCTTGAAGGTCGAACAATTGGCATTTAACACCAATGTTTACGATACTTATGTGCTTGATTTTGTCAGCAAACAAATGTGTCCTGTTATCAACCATCGGAACATGTGTCATAATTCCAGACAATATGTCAATGGTATCTGTAATTAAGAAATAAGCGACGAGCGGGAGTTGTTTATCGTTCAATAAAACACTACAGAAGAATAAACCATGAGGGGCCATATTGTAATAATGATGAATCCCTCAATAGATTCCGAACTCGGCAATGCCGGACAAGTCAATTTTATGTACAGGTGGATATTTCCCGCATATTCTCACAATCCTCACGTCGATTACCTGTACCCTTTCTCCCAATACCGATTCATTGTCATCTCTCCCGCTTTTAGGTTCGATCGTTCGGCTATCGCGTTTATCTGCGTTGCTCAGCTACATCCAAGGGGAACAACTCACAAGACACTCCGCTCTCAAAAATAACGTCATCCAAAATACGACATCATCTAGTTGCGAGCGCATGTTCGAATCTCCGGAAATTTCGTCATGTTAGAAGAATGTTTTATCATGAAATTAACCACACTTATTTATTCATTGTTCTTTGCGATTTATCGGGTAGCTATCTTATATTGTGTGTTAATAAAAAATGTAATAGTCTGTTACTTTGTATTCATAAAGCAATTGTCACTCCCAGGAGTGAATTATCTCATATTTTCTTGGTATGTAAACTGAAGCATTAAGGAGACACATTACTTTGTTACAAGTATATTGTCATCATACTTGTCAGTTGCATCTGAAACCTGCAGTGACCGAAGCGGTTATAGTGGGTAGCGGTCTACAAAAATATTTAGAAATGTTGATCAGTATCTTTTCATTCCAGACACTCCCCCCATGCATCGTCTGGTTAAAGCTCCCCCTGCGTCCACTATTTTGTCGCCAAGATATCCAGGAGAAGTGAAGTAAGGGGCATAACTGTTGTAGGTCAAACCTACGTTTAGCTGTTCATACTGTTGTGTTGCCGTAGGTCAAGAAGGCACACGCCACAGGGTGTGGACATATGACAAAACATAAGTTATTTTTCAAATCTGTTCTAGTCTATTTGGGATTCTGTGCAGATTTACTTTTTTACGATTAATACCTTAATGCATTTAAAATTGCGCCATGGGAGAGTTTGGTTTACGTTCCTAATAGTTGAAATTGAGAATGTGTTGAGAATGTGTTTTCCATTCACCTTGTAAGCAATTCACATCATGTTGTAACTAGGGAATTGGCTCCCTTATTGTTTCAACACTGTATCGTTGACGATTTGAGTTCATGATTCTTGGTTTCCCAGGGGCGGTCGGGTAGCCTAGTGGTTAAAGCGTTCGCTCGCCACGCCGAAGACCCGGGTTCGATTCCTGACATGGGTAAAATGTGTGAAGCCCATTTCTGGTGTCCCCCGCCGTGATATTGCTGGAATATTGCTAAAAGCGGCGTAAAACCACACTCACTCACTTGGTTTCCCGTCTCATATTAGCCATAGATCGACATACAATGGTTGTGAGAACACGTCCACTCGCAACAGTTTGAGCTGCTGTGTATTTACAAACACGCATACTGGCAGACGTCCCTTGGCTAGGATGTGAAATCTTATTTATCTTGTCACACTAAGCGGTAATAGATATGAGTTTTAAAATTATACAGTGTCAATAATGTGGCCATTTTTTCAGAGACATTAACGCAACGTGGACAGTGCGTTCTAAATGGGCCAGCAACCAAATGCTGTTATCATTTCTTGAAGTTGATCTTGGAGACGTCAGCGACTGTAACAACAACTACATTATGGTTTATCAAGGTAGGGATCACAATGCACACAGCACCGGCCCATTATGCCCAAGATTATGAAGGGGCCTGAAGTTAGCAGCGGGTTCGAATAACGAAAAACAAGCCAGCACTGGGTTCGTCTTACATCATCATCCAAAAGCTGTTTAAATATTCAGTACTTTTGAATAACGAAAACAAACCAGCACCGACTAATTGCTCTATCTCTGTGTGTAGCTACGTTGGCTTTGGTAAGTCCATCCATATGGTCTTATGTGTTTCTATTCTCCACGAAGAAGTGGACGGCCAGAAAAAAAGAAACAAAATTAAAACATGTTCTTTGCAATAAAGCTAATCAATTCCATTGTGTTTAGCTGGACATTAATTAGCATCCGCTGGGAGACACACCAAAACCAGATACAAAAAGGAGCAATGTATTCTAACCCCCTCAAAGTCTACTGAGCCATATTGATTGACAGTAGCTCGTATGTTATGCATATGCATTGCTCGGCTTCTGCAATATAACCGGTCAGGTTTGTGTCAATGCACCTGTAGCTGTGTACCCGGAAAGAGGAAAGCACTGTTACTGAATAACTTTATACAAAATACAAATTTGTAAAAAATTATATATCTCATGTAGCACAACAGAATATGTCTCTGTAACTGAAACTGCGCCAGACGTCATGTATTTGCAAAGGATACATGGAAGTTCGAGCTATGTCAAACTAATACTTTGACAGTCTGGGTGAAGATACAAGCACCATTCGTGATTTTCCAAGTGTTCCTAATCTTTTACTTATAAAAAGCAAATTCATTTTGTCCATATTTGGTGAAAGGTAAAAATATTTTCTAATTAACTGTTTTCTCTCATTTTGAAATAATGGACAGATAAATCGATATTGGAACTCATCACCCAAATCAAATGATTCATAAAATGAACATTTTCTTCAATTAAAGATACCTAAATAATACTTCATGGTTGAGAACACCTGACACCATAGATGGGAGACATTTCTGGCATCGTCGAAATGTTCGTTTATTAATACGGCCAGTGTTCGAAATCCCATCCAGTTCGTACACACATAAATCCATTCACAAATCGTTTCATGCATAACAGTTTGTCCATATAAAAACCAGTGATGGAGTAAAAGGACAACAGAGCAATGCTATTTTTTCAATGAATATAAATAAAGCGACAAAACCCTTTCCATATCCAATAGAAATCTCTGCATAAAGCAGATTCCATCGTACGTTTGTGGCTATATCACGAGCATGTGTTTATGAATCACTATCAAATCATTTTAGTCACTGATGCGTCAAATTTGGAAATGTCCTCCAAATGTCTACCATAAAACTTTTTGAAAGACTTACTGGGCCCTTGAAAGTTGTAACCTTGATCAAACAAGCAAGAGCAATAGTTGTATGGCGCTCTTTGAACATGCTCGATTGTATATAAAAAAGGTAAACACCAAACACGTTTGACAAGCTATCGGTGGTATCCATGTCATGTGTCTATATTTCCAAAGAATACATGGACGTTTGAGCTCTATGAAAGTAAAAGAGGAGTGGTACTTTTCATTGTTCCCTGTATATGTTTATTATAGTTTGCTTCGAGGTTTTGTCGCTTTCATTTGGTTAACAAATATATATCTGATGCTATTTCCTCTGAAACAGTAACACAAATGATTAATGTATTGTATGACTCGAGGTACCTCATCATCAAGGGCTAAATCAACGAGGGTGTAGATCTAGATACTACTGGAGTAGTATAGTTGCTTCCAGTTGACAAATTGTATGTTTCAGACTATTGTTACTATCTATTTCACAGGCAGTACATCATCCGATGTGTTTTCGAAGATCTGTGGTAACGAAACAGGTAAATTCCTCAACCAAGGCATGGAACTCTCTGTGGTCTTCAGGACAGACAGCAATCTGGCTAGAAGAGGGTTTAAGGCTACACAGGACCGGCCAAAATCCAGAACCGTTGGTAAGTAGACGACAACCGATAACACATCGCCAAATGGCTTTTGACCAATGAATCTGATTTATTGTTCACTGTGTTGGTGAGTGTGTGCTTTTACGCTGCTTATAAGCAATATTCCAGCAATATCACACGGGGGACACCAGAAATAGATTTCACACTGTACCCACTGAAACCGGGTCTTCGGAGAGACGAGCGTCTCTACCATGTCGTAACTGCGTTCTCGGGTTAACTGGACCCTACTACACTTACCTACCGTATTGTCGTTCCGCCCCCTCGTGGACAATGGGAGACTTGCCTCCACAACTTGCCTGGTCAACCAAAGGTATTTTAAGTCGAGGAGTAATTGGTCTATCAGCCCAGACTCCGAACTGTCTCCATCAGCATTCATGCGCCGGTCACTACTCTTATTGATCAACATAACACGTGGTTTATACACACAAAACTTTAATAACGCTTCAGTCCATCTTCAAAATACAACATATAAACAAGACAGGCTAGACTCGTCACAGATTGTGAAAAAGGGGTAGTAGAGATTTACTTCAGTCGCTGATAAAGCCCGTTCCACTCAGTGCTAAACGGATCTTTTTAAGGTAATTGAGTCTTGACCTTTCTTTGCCACATGTTATAATACCTCAATTTTATTCGTTAAAAGTTAGATCTGACCATGAACTCATGTGTGTCGTGATCGGACAAAATGCCAGAGCCAACGTGACCGATTGAGCATCTCTCTATTGATTTTCTGACTCCCTGCTGATTCATTAACTAATCGACGACCACGTGGAAACAATCCGATGATAAATGGGAAATGTCCTTTCTCTATCGATTCCCTTCTAAACCCAAAGTAACTGTCACGGACTTTATGTATTATGCAACCACATCCATGAAGCTATCCAAAGCTGTTACAATTTTCTAATGTTTTTGAGATGCATTTTAACCCTATAACACCACCCCACCGCAACGATTTATGGTTCAGAGCTTGGTGGGAATCAGTTTGATTCATTTGGTTATTGAAATACATTTCGTCATGCAAATAAAGCTTATTTAAGGCAAGTTTAAGAAAGTCTTCGACTGGTTGCAGGGGTTCGTGCAGAGAACAAATGTATTTTATTATGGTCAGGGACAATTTCAATATTTTATTTGATACAATAATACAAACCTACGTATTTCGAGGTAAATCAAGGCGAATGTCAGCTATTAAGTGGGTGCGTGGGTTTGGTTTTACCCCGCTTTTAGCAATATTCCAGCAATATCACGGCGGGGGACACCAGAAATGAGCTTCCGACATTGTACCCATGTCTGGAATCGAACCCGGGTCTTCGGCGTGACGAGCGAACTATTTAACTACAAGGCTACCCGACCGCCTCTCAGCTATTAAGAACTTTTAAGAACTTTTAAGAACTATTTGAAGTATTTGGCTCAGGTTGGGGTATGAATGACACTTTTTCGAGAGGCAGGTTCTTATTCGTTATTTCTATATACCAGTAAATGATTATTTCAGTTAGGTTTCTTGTCTCATTAATACAAAAAAAGATGTTCTAAAGTTTCAGATTCGCTATTGGAAAACGGGCCTAAGTAATGTTCACTTTTTCTAATAGTTAGGAAAACGACTTGGTTGTTATAATTCTCTGGAAAGGCTTGTCTTGAAAGTTTCTTGTTTTATTATCTACAGTGGATTTTGGAATCATATCAATGCAATTTGACTGACAACCTTCATTTAATAGCACGGATGACATGCACCAGCTGACCTCAGAGTCGGCCTTACTACGGTGGGAATCAGTTTGGTTAGTTATTGAAATACATGTAGTCATGCAAATGTAGTTCATTAAGGCAAGTTTCAGAAAGTCTTCGATTGTTTGCAGGGGTTCGTGCAGAGAACAAACGTAATGTATTATGGTCAGGGACAATTTCGATATTTTATTTACATGTTTCATATTATTTAATACAATAAAATAAGTGTTTCGAGGTAAATCGAAGCGAGTATCAGCTAATAAGAACTCGTCAGAACTATTTGAAGTATTTGGAAATATTTCTGTTGTCAAAACAGCTGTAAGACGTAGTACAAAATGTCAGTATATTATAATATCGGGAGCGAGCAACATTTTCGTATTTGTAATGCTTTGTTCTGACGGTCCTAATAATTATTGGTTGAAGTATGCAATGCTCCTACCATCATTGAAGTCCCATAGAGGTAGGTCACTAATGGCCATGCGATCTGAGGCACAAGGATCCGTATATATAAAATAGTCGTTAGTTCGAATCAGAGATTCATAGAAAGTGTAACTCTCGGCTTGACATCACCCTTCCCTCGAAGGTTTCATTTTGATGGATCGATTTATTCAGTCAAAGGTCACAGGCCCAAACGACATACATTTCACAAGATAATATATAGCATACAGTTTTTTAAATCAAACACAATTCTACATTGTGATACATGTATGAGGAAGATGTAATACAAATGCATCACTGATGGAGTGACGGGTATAATTAAAAAGCAAAGAGTATATATGTAGCTAGATTCAACAATGTATGATCACATTCCAAATTCATTTTTGTGACGGGTTATTATAGTACCTAGGGTGATATTGTTTTCGTTAATCTGTAAATGCTTTTCACACGAGTAAAAAATGGAACTCATTTTCCACAAACTTAAATCCGTATCGAGAGCAATAAGTTCATTATAGTCAATTCCAGATATACGCCCTAGTTCAATCATTAGGTTGAGACAACCGAATCTATATCTGTATTAGGTTTGCTTATATATTCTTAGCTGAACGCGAGTTAAAAAGTGCTTGACGTTTAAAAGAGATGTGTAGGTGGAGTAGGATGTCAAGTTTTGAGTTGTAAGGTTTCATGAACTATGTAAAAAGTCTCCAGGTTTTCATTGACTGTGTCTCTCTTCAACATTTATGCTGATACTCGGTGAGTGAGTATAGTTTTACACGGCTTTGAGCAATATCCCAGCAGTATCACGGCGGGGGACACCAGAAATGGGCTTCACACATTGTACCCATGTCGGGAAGCGAACCCGGGTCCTCGGCGTCACGATCGAACGCTTTAACCACGAGGCTACTCGACCGCCCCTGATACTTGGTGAAATAACCCAGTCTGATATACAGACTATACCCTCATAAGATATACAGTCAAACGCCGGTGTGTCGAACTCTGATGTGTCGAAGTTAAAGCTTGTTCCCTGCGTATTCCTAATTCATTCATCATTTTACGGCTGTGTCGAACCTCGGATAACTCGAAGTATTTACGTAGGTCCCTTCAACTTCAATACACCGGTGTTGGACTGTATTCACATATGTTAGTGTTTCTAATTCTCATCCATGAATTATGTGTACCATTGCAGATGGTTGCTATGGTGAGACGAATGAGGTTACAGCTTATTCATTCGGCAAAGACGATCTTGATTCGCCTTTGTATCCAAACAATTACCCAAAGTAAGTGTGCAGTCGGTGGAGGTAGTGGGCTGGCCTGGATCTAAAAGGATCACTATGATAAGACGCAGTGACATGACTTGAAGAAGCGAGTGAGTGAGTTGGGTTTAACGCCGCTTTTAACATTATTCCAGTTATATCACGGCGTGTCAGCTTAATCTGGGAGGAAAGCCCGAAGTAACACAGGTCTCAGACCATTACCACTGCGGCGAAACCCACGAGCACGTGTATAGTGCTGACAAACCTAGGAACATAATCGGGGCGAACCTGAATTGAAGAAGTCACGACAAAATAACATTCTTAAAAGGAGCATATTGCAAATCCTAAACAACATTAATTTTGCTGTTGAATTTTGCAGTCAAAATTGTGTTTGGAGCATGGGTGTAGATGTGAGTTGAAAGTTGTCAATAATAAAAACAAAATTATAATGAAGTTAATATCATACACAAGTTCTTGAAATTAAAGTCACCATAAAATACAAACAAATAACATGTTAAAAATAATTATATTTCAAATCCTATATAGAATTTTACTTTCTTTAAATAATCAGGTAACAAACAACCCATGGACTAAAGGGCATGATGATCTGTAGTACGAAAGACCATAAAATGTTTAAACATGTTCTAACAACACACCTAAGTGGTATTTTCTCTCCGTCAGCATGATGAACTGTTCCACCCTATTGAAGTCTATCTTTGACGACCACTACATCCAGCTGGAGGTGACAGACATGAACATGCCCCACCCCGAGGATACGGGCTGCACCAGAGACTATGTGGAGTTCTTTGATGGTGAGAACACCAGCTCAGATGATACAGTAACTACAAGGAAATAACCATATATTGCTCTTGGATATTTTCTATCCGAAGAAGTGTTAACCTTTCTTAGCATTCCTCGTTCATGTCATCAAGTAAGTTCATGCAAGGGCCATCTTTTGGCTTCCATATCCTTGCCTCTCAAGGACTAATTGAAAGGTTTAGTGTCATTCTTCAACGTATGGCTGCTATCGGCCGCCCTGTTGGAGACAAGGAAGGCCTGCTGTATTGAACCATCATTACACGCATACGAAACTTTGCATTATGCCCTTAACATACGCATGTGTAGAGTACACAACTTTATTAATGCAAAAAAGAGACATTACCATTAATTTCATGCATAGTCTGTATATATGCAATAAAACATTTTCGTTTTTTAATACCATTTCTTTCCCAGAAGTGAATGAAATATGTAACTACATTCCCCAAAGAATGGATTTTGTAACTACATGCCTTAAAGAACTGCTTCACGTGTGTTATGCAGGACCAAGTTCTGCTGCCCCAAGTCTGGGACGAGCCTGTGGCCAAACGCTGTTGAAAGTCCAGTCGACTGGTAATGAAGTGTTGGTCATGTTTATCTCAGACTCGAATGTCGGCGACAAAGGATATCGGATCAAATATCAGGCCGATAGGGAAGGTACAGTGTCTACTCCCAAGTTTATATTTCATAAGTGAGTGTGTGAGTGAGTATGGTTTTACGCCGCTTTTAGCAATATTCCAGCAATATCACGGCGGGGGACCCCAGAAATGGGCTTCACACAATGTACCCATCTCGGGAATCGAACCCGGGTCTTCTTCGTGACGAGCGAACGCTTTAACCACTAGGCTACCCGACCGACCCTTACATTTCATAAACAACAAGTATTTGTAGCCTTACTGTTACTCATTGTACCCTCAATACTTAATATATTTCTCTATGATGTAAAGGATATATTATCATATGCTTGTCCTTAATTAAGAATTAAATGATTCCATTTTTTAAGAAATACAACTGAATGAAAAGACCACTGTAATTAATATACATGTCATAACAACTGAATGATAACTTTGATGACGTGGCCTTACGTTTGGTATTCATTCATCATGGGTAGAACAAAATAACATTTGTCAAACATAATCCTGGCCCTCATTGTCTCTTTATTGATATGCCTAATGAGAATAAATTAGAATCACACATTTCCCTTCAAAATGCTGTACTTTGTGTATAAGTTCTAACTTAACCAACCCGTGAAGATCCGGGGTAGAATAGGTCTTCAGCAACCCATGCTGGCTTTAAAAGGCGAGTAAGTAAGAGGCGACTAACGGGATCGGGTGGTCAGGCTCGCTGACTTAGATGATGCATGCCGTAGTATCCCAATTGCGTGGATCGATGCTCATGATGTCAATCACTTGATTGTCAGGTCCAGACCGCCGTCATATAGCTGAAATATTGCTGAGTGTGGCGTTAAACAACAAATAAACAAACAATCTACATAACCATAATTGTCATTACGTGAGTAATGTAATTTGAAATGTAATATGTTAACATTTTCAGAAACTCCACATTCGGCACCAATTGGACTCATACTTGGCATTACCATCCCCTGTCTTGTCATCATAGGCGCCTATGTAACATACCTTGTTTGCAAAAAGAGGAAGGGTAGTGCGGCCATTTGAACAGTGATACAATCACATCACGGCATGTATGCTTGATGTGGGAGGAAGTCCCGAAGTGATGCAGTGAAAGATATAAGTGAAAGTAGATGCGACAAAATCTTTACCATAATCATAAGTCATATCCGTTCTTCTATTCTGACTGTCTGGAGCATATGATCAATTAGTGATGATATCAGCGGTTCGCGAAGAGATTAGCGTATCCTGCACGTATATGGTACTTGTCATAGACACACGCAAATGTAAACCAAGTGTCCATAAACATGGATGTACATCGCAAACAACAGTTACTACTTCTGGACGAAGAGGAATTTTAAGGTTGACGGTGTAGAGACGGACAACGTCAGTTATCTATGACGAAATTGCTTGAGGTAAGGACACAGTCAGTTTAATATAATGAAATTACTTGAGATAAGCGATAATGTCCGTTAAAGATAGTGGATGCACGGCCTATAGTTGAGATAAGATATAACGTCGGTTAAAAAGAATCCCGTATCGCTTACGCTGGAATGAATGAATAATGTAATCTACGTATAATTACAATAATTCATTTATGGCGTAAAATTATTTTTTTGTCAAGGTTCGGAAAAGTACAATGTGAGATTTTAAAATGGCATTGACCGAAGTCGAATAATAAAGTTTAACTCAAGTTAAGAAACACCTTATTTTATGATCAATGCTGCATTGACCGACACACTTTTAACAAATGAACAGTAACTGTTTATGATTTCAAGATCAATTTTCCAGTTAATCGTTAGAATTGAACACCCAAAGGGTATCGCCTTTGTTCAACAATACGGGTATTAGCAGGAATATTGGTTTGGATCTTTTATTTTAACAAACTATATATAACAAACTCTCCACAGACCACATATATATATATATATATATACAAAAATGACGTAAATGTTCACTTGGTGTACATGTAATATATAATAAAATAATAAAGTCCACGTTAGTCCATCATCTTCTGATGTGTAACTGTTTTTTTCAATTACACTGAAGAGCTGTCATGAGACAGCGAAAGTACTATGTCTGAAACTGATATAAAGAAGATGATGGACTAACGTGGACTTTATTATTTTATTATATATTACATGTATATAAATATATATTTATATATTATTTAACAAACTCTTCTCAGACCACACATATATATTATAACAAACTCTCCACAGACCATATATATATATATATTATTGCCTTACATGTATGGGATGCAAATATATACACTCTCCACGTGCTGCAATTCTGTTAACATACAACACCGGTGTAGAGGCGCAACGTCCCTGCAATGCTGTTTCAATGTCAGTTGTCAACGGAAACAATCGATCGCTCATTCCAAGCGGTGCTTAATCCTAAAACGAGGCTTCAGTGATATCACACACTAGGTGTTTACTACACATAACTTCTTACTGCTAGTTGTAACACTGGTGTCGTATGACAAACAGAGATCCCACTGTGATGTATTTAGGTCACATGTAATTATTCTTCAAGCCTTCCCCCAATGGTTTCCATTTAGTCAAGTCGTGATAGTTATCTGTTATGTTGTTTCCTCGCCTGTAGCCGTTGAAATATTTTAACCACGAAAAGAGAATTGCATTGTCCTTGATATTTTTTTGTTTGTGTCAGAGCAGACTAATGTATATATGTCTAACTTCAACTGCATTATGATTTGATTATTGTGTAGGATGTGAAGATTCATTGGTATGTTTTTTTACAAGTGTCGTTTTTGGGATCTAGTCGTGTTGGTGCTCTGATCATATATTTACATTCCTAAATCACATGTAGATAATGTTTAATGTAGTACGTTATTTCCACTAGGGAAGTTTTTAACACATATCCCGTCATGACGTCAGGTTGAATCACATGACGTCTCTGACCGAGCACCCGGCTTCTGTAACTGGTTTCCAGACTTTACCACGAACCTTTCAGGTACACTACCAGATCGTCGCCTCCCCATCGTTATCAGTCCAGTATAATACTTTTTATCCTTTTTTGCGTATTAAGGTATGCGTTTCGTCTAAAATACAGCTCCGTGACGGTGACAAGTGTTGAATTACATGATAACTGAGTACCAGTTTTAATATTGGTTGTCCATCCAATGGAGATACGGACTAATAGGTACTTGGTGTAGGGCATGCGTAAACACTGCCTAAACTGGGAGTCTTGTGGCCAGGCTCGGTGACATGACTGTTTGTTTGTTTCTTGTTTAACGCCGCAGTCAACAATTTTCCAGGTATATTGCGGCGGTCTGCAAATAATAGAATGATTAATAATGTGTCATATCAGGTGATGTCATCTCACACGGTAACTGGTGCTTGAACATGTGTCTCTGTTGTAAATTTTGTGATAATTTATTATCCCCCGCCACGAAGTGGAAGGGGGATATAGGAATGGGTGCCGTCCGTCCGTCCGGCCGTCCTTCCGTCCGTCCTTCCGTCACACTTCGTTTCCGGAGCAGATCTTGAAAACCGTACCATATTTCTTCACCAAACTTGGCACATAGATAGCTCTAGTGGTGAACTGGTGCCTTTTGATAGTTTGGGATTTTTAAAAAAGTTATTTTTCGAGTGTATCCATGGCAACGACTTTGATTTAGACTGAAAATGGCGGTAGTCCTCGTTTCCGGAGCAGATCTTGAAAAACGTAGTATATTTCTTTACAAAAAGGCCCCGTGAACATGGTTCACAGGAGCTAATGCATTGCACACACCGGACATGTCATATTGGCGGGGGATGTGAGTATTTCATGCTTGTTGTCTTATCGAACCGGTACAACATATCCATGGGTTTACATAACAAGCTAGATGGAACCTTATTTGTCCATTCAAAATAATGAAATACACATACCACATGAAGGATTCATAGAATAGCTGTTTACTATTAACACGTTGCCTTGAGCTTTGACAGGTCACTGAAAAGATGGTACATTGTGTATTCTAGGAATAATGGTGACGATAATGTCAAATGTCTTTTGTTACCTGTTCAGGGATTATTTATGAAAGCTATTATTGAATTTGTCACAAAATATTTGATATTATGTACAGAACCAGTGTTATTGAGATTATGCATATGTATTTTTGAAATCATAATTAGTTATATTTTATAAAAAGTTTGCCTTGTAATTTACATGTGCCGCGATCAGTGTTTTTATATTGTTAAGTTTTGCAAGCGATATTCAAAGCCGCCATTGTCAAATTATAACTTGTCGATTTCCCCAGACAGGATTCGGTCAGTGGAACATCTTGTGCGGCCAACTTCCTCGCCTTACTTCTGTGATAACGTCAGTGTGAGTGTCATTTGTTTGGGCTTCCTAGACAAGCAAATTAAAGACTGATAACACGTTGACAATCTTATTTAGAAATTGTGTTTCAATCCCACCTTTGAAAAGCGATCTTGCCTCAGGCCTTGTCTCTTACGTTTATCTCTTAATTGCGTTCCGTCCGATAAGGGATGTAGCAACTTGAAACTGCCTAATGGTCATAGAAATATATACTTGAAGGATATTTGTGTTCCGCTTGTGCTTCAGAGCTTTTTTTCAGAGGTATCCATGGACAGGGTTTCTTACTTTTAAAAGCACACTTCCACATTTCAGTTCTGAGTGAGTTAAAATGTAACGTCGCATCTGATGTGAGATTTGTATTGTGACCCTGGAGCAGATGATGTGTCCATGTTATCTGTTTCAATCTGATATTGTTTTTCTCATATGTCCTGAATGTGCTCATGAACTCTCGATTTTTAATTACTGGAATAAATCACACTGTGTATTCATTGTGTCCTTGACTATTTACTGGAAACAGAGTGACAAAACCCTCTCTGGATGCATAAGAAATATCTGCCAAAAGGCAGAGTCGATTTAAGATTCCGACTATATCATGAACCTGTGTTGGTGAATCACCAAACAGTGATGGCACCAGGTGTTCGCGAAAAGGTAAGCGTAAACTACTCTTCCCCACCGATGGCACCCGTCACAAACACATGCAAGGGCATGTCAGTTGTTCCCCTAAAAAAACAGGGACAGTATGGTACTAGGGAATTGCATCGGAAATTATTCTTGTCACTGGTGCGTCAAATTTGGAAATGTCCTCCACATGTCTACCATAAAACGTTTTGAAAGCCTTCCTGCGGCCTTGAATTTTGTAAACTTGATAAACAACTTCTCTGCAAGAGTCGTATGACGCCCTTTGTCATCTTGGTGGAAGGAGCATGTTCGTTTGTACCTCAAACGTTATGTGGGGCGGTCGGGTAGCCTAGTGGTTAAAGCGTTCGCTCGTCACGCCGAAGACCCGGGTTCGATTCCCGACATGGGTACAATGTGTGAAGCCCATTTCTGGTGTCCCCCGCCGTGATATTGCTGGAATATTGCTAAAAGCGGCGTAAAACCTCACTCACTCACTCAAACATTGTGAAATGTAGACGTAAAAGTAAAGTTGACTATTGGAAAATTGAAGTCATCCGTCTTGTCATACAGTCGTGTGGAGAGTGTTTTGTCACTCTGAATGTTTACGCATAGATCTAAATATGAAACAGGTGAGGTGGTTGCACCGGTTTCCTTTGTTTCTAGTTCAGGTGGGTAAATTAGTGTAAGGGAATTGGCTATTTGATGGTTATTGAACGATATCAGATCATCCATATTGTTTGATTAAAGTTACGCTTTACAAACCAAGAATACAAACATTGTCTTCCTCGTTGAACCTCCGCCCTTCCTCGTCTACCCAAAGAAACAAGCTACCATCGAAGAATAACACATAAGATGTCAAAGAAAAGACGCATCTAACCAAAACAACAAAGAAAAAAAGTAACAAAAGACAAAAATCAGACCCATAACCAACAGTAAACAACAGAAAACAATTCCCCAAGAGAAACAACCCCAATCAAAAGCTGAATAGTACCCGTGCGAACCAAGTTCGTATTGAACAAGAGTTCATACTTTATAAAATAAAAACGGATAAACAACTGTATGAAGTATATACTAACTGAACAAAAGAATCGGATAATGATGATATGGATCATATGGCTTTATATATTGTTAAGTCTTCTAGCTGTACACAGTGAGTCTAAAGACGGGTACATGCAGCATGCTGCCTTTACTATTGGTATTTGGCTTAACAAAGTTATGTCTCAAAGTTTCCTTTCCTTTCAAAAAACTTTTTATCTCTGAGCTCGCTTATATGGTTTTCAAGAGATTCATTCGCACTTTTATAGCGATATGTGTGTATGTGTTTGTGTGTGTGTATGTGTGAGCATGTGAGTGTGCGCTCTTCCGGACTAATGCCGGCTTTATGGTGCTAGTCCACTGAGATACCATGCCACAGTTTAACATGGATACCCAACTCAGACACAGAATACTGCCTCCGAGTCGACAGTCCGAGCAGTGTAACACTAAGTACCATCTTCTAACGTCTCTCGGTTTGACGAGGCCGGCGATCGAACCTACGACCTTCTGCTCACCGGGTACCCGTCATAAGACACCATGCCACTTCCTCCACCGACCATGTCGACCTCCTGAATGCAACACCCGGCATAACGCCCCTTGTACGTCGATACATGCAGATCCATCTCTCTTTGAAGAAGGAAACAGGAATCGTCACTAAACCTAACTCTACACAAGGCTGGGCAAACCACTGTTAATGTTATTGACATCACTGCAGCCGCTGATGTCGAAAGTTGCGGAAAAATAATGCAAACGTAGGCCTTCTTGCTCGGATTTTTGCTCGGTACAGTCTGTGCAGACATGAAATGGGACATGCACCAGGAATTTGTGTGAGTGTCCTGTTTTGAGTGAGTGAGCAAGTGAGTCGGGTTTTCTGCCGCTTTTAGCTATATTTTAGCAACATAACGGCGGGGGGACACCAGTAACAGGCTTTACAAATTGTACCCATGTGGTGAATCGAACCCATGCCTTCGGCGTAACGAGCGAACGCTTTGACCACGAGGCTACCCAGCTAACACATTACGTTTTCACAACGTTGTCGAGAGGTTGTGGATTGGTAACGTTGTGATATAATAATATTCCACAAAGTTATTATTACGTTGCTATGGAACGTTAGTTCACAACGTAATACCAACGTTGCATATTTACGTTGTAAAAACGTTGTGCATCGGACATCACACAACACACATGATTCAAGATGAAGATGTTCACCCTCAGTTAAAAATACTGAAAACACCAGACCGTAATTCCTCTGTCTTTGTTACGGTGTTAGAACGAATGGTGTCAGCTTTTTGTCACTCGCATGTGTTTCGCTTTACTATCCTTGCATACTTTGCTCTCATGGCCAGCTGGCATGGATCATTCGTGACCAACTCGTGTTATTCCGTGACAAGCCCATTCGTCACCACTCGCCCCTTCCGTAACCTGCAAGAAGACTCGTCCCTCTATCGATGAATGTTATGTGCGAAATTACGACAAACCAATCATAATGCGCGTATGATTTCAAGTTCTTCGTCAAAGAATCCCTCAGAAATAATTTTTGATTTTACACATGTCTTGCATTTAAAAATATACCCAAGACACAGTTAAATGTGTTCAATCATGATACAGCATTAAAATTTTTATCCTCAGTTAAAAATACTGAAAACACCAGACCGTAATTCCTCTGTCCTTGTTAACGTTAGTATAACGTTACTTAGCAACGCAATTACAACGTTGCTAAAATGCGCTGAGAACGTTGTGCATCGGACATCTAACAACGCTAGATGTTAACATCTGTAAACAGCTATTAACACATGATGTGGATGTATCTTACTTATGTCAGCTTTATTATATAGATGTTATAAGTTGTTTCCTATGCGTTGCTTGACAGATAGTGTCACATTTGAGCGTGCAGTTTTTGCGCGGGTGTGAGAGAAACCCTTGCTGGTCGAAAGGGAACATCTCTGTAGAGAACTCGCGATCGACATAGCAGTGATTAAAACTACTTAACAATTTCACTATGCCATTGAAACTATTATTGCCTTAAGATTTGCGTGAAAGCTGCTGTGATCTCTTGATATTGCTTATTTAGGTAATTGTTTTTAATCCATAAATTGTTTTCATTCTCGTGCAATTTGTCAGAGTGCATGAAACAAAATGGCGTGCTAAATGGCGGAGTGTTATATCAGCGCTGTCTTGTTGTTCTCAGTAACATAATTACATTAACTGATCATATCACTACATTGTACATGTATTAATTAACAAGGTGTGGATTAATAATCTGTTTATAATGATGAGTTTATTTAGGTCATAATATAACCCCGCACACTTGCATGGGCACGATAATCGCATGTGTAATGTATAAAACTCATATAAATCATATAAATCGCTCCCGGCTTGAGTCCTCCATGTGTGTGAATGCACGACGTGACCCTTTTCCCCACTGTGTGCTGTAAACGCTAGAATTCTTGTTTTGTTGACCTATTTGTCAGTATATATGCTATTATCTCCCTCGTCTACGGACGACTATAAAATGTACAAGTAACAGGATGTCCGTAATGTTAAAATAACTTGATATTATCCATGCCACGAGGTGCATTGACATATCAAATATTTAAATTATTCCTGCTTTGGGAACTGTTTCCACCTTTGAAAAATCGCAAAACCAACGCCTCTTACATAGTGGAAATCTTGCGCCGTATCTTCAGTGAGATATCGTGTTACGGTGTTAGAACGAATGGGGTCTGCTTTTTGTCACTCGCATGTGTTCCGCTTTACTATCCTTGCATAACATGCTCTCATGGCCAGCTGGCATGGGCATTCGTAACCTGCAAGAAGAGGCTTGTCCCGGAATAACACGAGTTGGTCACGAATGTTGGCATGGGAAGAGAGGAAGAGAACGTCGATAGGCACATTTGACATTCGGGTGTTTCCGTAATCGGCGGAAATGGCAATGCGTTTTTTTACGTTTTTCTTACGTTTTTTACGTCACAAAGCTTTTGTTACATAAGAATGATTTTACACCTAAAATCATTATTGCGTTTACGTTCGTATAATCCTTTGATCAATCATTTTCCAAGCAGCAGACCACGTGACAAGTATGCACAAATGTGTTTAATTTTTCACCTGCGCACATAAACAGACACGAGTGGCAGACGGCTAGAAGCGTGGCTAGTCAAAGCTTTGACGATGGCAAGGTTTATGGATTTAGCGTGTTGTCTGCTTTTCACAACAACCATAGCTAAAGGTATGACCAGTATTATCAATATTGTCCGGTTGTCATATAATTTCATCAACATACATAATAGTAATACACAATGAAACCCGTTAGTCCGGAAACCTTGCATTCCGGACGATTACAGAGCAGATTAACATGCCATAGATTACTTTCAGTCATGATTAGCGACGATTTGTTAATCAACACGATTTTACTCGTCCGGATTCCCAATACTGTCCAGATTCGCGAGGTTTCACTGTAGTTGCTAGGGCCTATTTTGTTATTTTATATTGAGATTATATAGAGTGTAAGGTGTTCTAGTGTCAGGAATGCGTCGTCCTGATTTGTCTTGCATGAATACACAGTAAACATGCTAACGTAGTGTGACCTTGACAATGAGCGACCATATGTGTCTAGACTGTCCAGACAACAACGATTAATAATACTGTCATTGTTAGCTCCGTATTGTGTCAGAACAGAACGCGATCTCAGTAGCAGTTATCTGTGCTGAGTCAGCTAGACAGACAGACAGACAGATATTGTATTTTAGTCTCACCCCGCTGTACACCATTATTACATTATAATGGATATTAAAATAATAGGCCATTCCTGATGGAATTGTGAGAGACTGTAGTAAAAGATAATATACAACCTATATACGAGTACTATTATAACATCAGTGATAAAACATGTTTCTCCTTCGTTGTAAAATATAAAAGCAGGTTTGTTTTTTGTAGATTTTCACCGGACATTAAAAAGCATAGCTTGTATAATTTTAAATGAACTATTAAAATAACAGGCATTTTATGAGATTAAAACGTTCATCGTCGTAAACAGGACAATTCAATATAACATGGACTTCGTCTTCTGTCACACTTCTGTTACGCTGGTCGACAGGAAGGTTTCCAGATCGCCCGGTTTTACGTAGTTTTCCATGCCATGTTTTGAAAAAAACAAACGGTATGTTGTAGGTTTACCGGTGTTGCTCAATAACCTTTCTGACCAAGAAACCAACTGTCGATCAGCCCATATTTTCAATTCATCATTCACAATTGATTTCGGCAAGCACACAAGAATATTAATACATATTTCTGGTGATACAACTACAAATGAATGATTTGGTGTAGACTTTAAAACTGTACTCCAGTAGTAAATGATATTCAGTTTCGACTACTTATAAGTCTCATAGCTGACGTGTTCTTTCTTCATAAGGTAGTTGTTCCCATCGACTGTATTGAAAGGAAGTTCAGATGCTCTTTATAGCAATAACAATCTTCATGATTCTCTGGGTGTTACAAGCAATCAAATAATATTCTGTGTTTGGTAAATATTTAAACCCTTTATACGTGGTTAATGTTCTGAAATCGCATACCGCATTGATACCATTCTTGTCGATAAAAGCCTTTGATTCTTTGTGTATGTAAAACGTGCTTCATCTGCAACATCTTGCGAAAGCCAAACCAATATCCTTACTTAATCAAAATATTCCGAATATAAGTGGCCCACGTTGATCTGATTTGTTGATATAGATACACGATATAGATTTGTTTAGGGTATGTGTTAGGAGACCGGTTGTTCCAATATATGCACTACAGTCAATATGTATAGAATTACGTCCCGTCACCAAGAGCCGTAACATGTGAAACTTGTCAGATAATGTTTACAGAATATGGAACTGTTCGATGATTGCTCTTTTCTAAACTCCCCATATTTCTGATCCCTCCAATAGAATTGGTCTAATGTATCGAATCTTTCATGTTAATGTCGCCATATTTCCATTTTACCGTTCTTTTCACGATGCCTCTATTCCTGAAACAAGTATTTCCGTCTTGTCTTGGTTTATTTCTAGTCCCCATTTAGTGCAAAAGGTCCTCAAGATGTCTATCTTTTGTTGTAGGCATATAACACTATCATGAGAAATACCGAGGTTATCTTCATAGAATAATGCAATATCCAGGAACTCTTGACCAATAAATATTCCTCGCAGCTCTTATTCTTTATTCGTAACTTCTAGCGGGACAATAAATAATGAGAACAGTTAAATTAAAGGAGACATATTGAATGAAAGCTTCTTAAAACACGTTAAATGTTTACCCCCCCCCCCCCCCCACCCCCACCCCATACCCCCGCTAAAAATCCTAATTTTATTGTTATCTTAAAAGAAACAATCTTATCTCACCACTACCAACCACAAGCGCGTATGAATATCGAAATCCCGCAGTAGGCTAAGCTGTAGTTGTGACGTCACAGCGGGTCCATACGCCATTGTCCTTTGTTTACAGTACATTAATTTACATGAAAATGAAGTGATTGTCCGTTATTCTCGGTGCATTGAATTCGAAGACGCGAAATGGGTTATTGTGTTGCGTGGGGTGTACCAGTTCATTAAACAAACGTGACACTTAAGATTTCCAAGCGAAAAGAGAAGGAAAGTTTGGATACAGTGATACAGTCAGCGTGGAGAACAGAAATGGAATTCCACTGGAAATGCTCTTTTGCCCCTGCTAACAGGGAAGCCTTGTTAAAACATTAAATAATAATGTTTCGAAAACAAAATTTCGAAAAAGCGTCACAAGAAGCATTATGAACTGAATTATTCATTACACACATTGGCCGCTATCAGCGGCAATAGATGTACAGCATTGATACATCAACATAGACATCACTATATACAAATATACAATATATATCAACAGATATACCGAGCAGTGGCTTCAGTAAATAAAGATACAGAGTTCAGTTACGAGACCTAGTGATAGGTTAAATAGCAAAATTATAATTTTACAAAATTTGAATGATTTTCCAAGTGTTCCTAATATTTTTCTATTAAAAAGCAATTCATTTTGTACATATTTGGTGAAAGGTAAAAATATTTTCTAATTAACTGTTTTCTCTCATTTTGAAATAGTGGACAGATAAATCGATAGTGGAACTCATCACCCAAATCAAATGATCCATAAAATGAACATTTTCTTCAAATAAAGATACCTAAATAATACTTCATGGTTGAGAACATCTGACACCCTAGATGGGAGACATTTCTGGCATCGTCGAAATGTGCGTTTATTAATACGGCCAGTGTTCGAAATCCCATCCAGTTCGTACACACATAAATCCATTCACAAATCATTCATGCATTACAGTTTGTCCATATAAAAACCAGTGATGGAGTAAAAGGACAACAGAGCAATGCTATTTTTTCAATGAATATAAATAAAGCGACAAAACCTGTTCCATATCCAATAGAAATCTACACGGCTCATGTTTTGTCCTAAAATAGATTTTCCTTTGAAAATTATGGACACCTCAGAAATGAGGGCTTTTGAAGATATAATTCTACCTAACTTGTCACATAGTTTGACGTAGGTCTATCAACGAATTTTTTTTTCAAAATCTTATTATTTTTTTTATGACGCTGACAATTTCAAGCACTTAACCCAAAGAGTATTTTAGGAAAGACAGATATGTTTTTGATTGAAAATGCAACTGTCCTTCACAATTCTTGTTTCACGATGGAAGGGGCACTTTTTATACACACCAGCTGAGGAACGTGTGATACTGTGATAGCATACAAGGGAAAACAGGTTTGCAGCATTACATGTATGTGCATGATAAACTACATAAGGTGACAAGTCATGGAGTGTGGCTGACATGAAAGAATACACCTGGCAAGGGTAATCATGTATACAGGCACATTTCTTTTCACTCCAACCAGAAGACTGAGACATATGGACCTTTTCTGACTGGATATTCTGAAGCCCACAAAATGATCAAGGAGTCAGATCCAAGGCTGGTGATGATCTGCATTTATTTTGATTTTTTTATACATGACATTGACTGACGGAAGACACCCTATTGACCACAGTTCACAATGGCCAATAGTCCTTCAAGGACATGAGACTCGCTGTCAGACTTCCGAGCATGCTGTAACAAACCTGGAAAGTCCTGCCAGACTAATTACACATTATTGCATTGGTGAGATGTCGAGATGAAAGATAATAATCGAAAATTGATCAGTTACACAGTGCTAATGCATTGAACAATATATAATGTCTATAAAAATAATCATTGTTAAAAAATAAATACTTAAAAAAAAATATATGAATTAAATGTTAAAAGCTGTGAACAGCTGTAGATAATTAAGCCCTAACAAATGTATCATCAATACACAATATTGGAGGTAATTTCATTTATGGAATACATATATTAATGTTATGTGAAAATGTTCTAAATCATGCTGAGCCTAAAATCTGTAAATGTATACTCTCAAACATCATTCTAAAAGCCTAATTTCAATGTAGAAATTAATACTGAAAATAATTATGTCGTATGTTATATGTCAACGGTTAAAAGACATTTTTCTCAGGTTTGGCATAGTGATTTATTTGAAAGCCCCTAAATTGCTTATCATGCACAGTTTAAAACATCCATTTTATGTGAGAACTATTTGAGTAGTATTACTGTGAATAAATTCAGAACCAATTGACTCGTTTTCGGTTTGGCTCTCACAATTTTGAAATTGAACGTGGACGAAAATATAATATACTTCGTGAATTTAGAAAATGTCAAGTTTGTAACTTGAATCATATCGAAAATAAATATCAATTTGTGTTAATTTGTCTAGCTTATAGCCGTCTTAGGCAAAGATACATAGAATCTAAATTGTACATCTTTCCAAATATTTTGAACTTTAATACACTACTGTCATCGCATGACCCTATTATCAATATGAATACAGCAAAATACTTGTTTTATGCCAATGCTGTAAGAACACAAATATTCCAACATTTGTAATATGCAATTATGTTAAAACTGCTTTTGTTAAAAAGCAAAGAAATGTATTATATCTTATATTGTTTGCACCTAAATTGTATTTCGTCTGTCCTAAAATAAAGTACTGAATAAAGTGAAGTGAAGTGAAACGTGAAATTGCATGGGGCCTATTGATTCATCGTCTACCGTTTCCGGGTCACGGGAGCATGCAAGGTCAAACGGATTTAACAATACGCCAATTGTATCGTCAAAGTCAC